GGAAAGGCTAAAGCGACTGGTAATTCGAATGAGTCACGCAAGCCATTTTATTATTCACTAGGATTTTGAATGAAACCGAATGCACGGCGCATTCTAGAAGGAGAGATTCATCCTTATATAGACTCATTCTTTGGGAGTCAGCTATTGGAATGGCTTGTGTAATTGGTGCTTGCTTTGTCACCATGTAAAGTGAGCCCATGAAAGGTGCTCAAAAGTATCTTTGGTGAACGCCACGCACTTCAACCTCCCTTCGAAAATGTAAACGAGAGTTTGCATTCGCATCTGGCCAAAGCATTGATTTTCTGAAATGTTGGGAGACAAATGCTGTATTTTTTGATTTTTCTTCACGCCATTCACTACCAACAACAACCCTAAACAAATGGGAGGGCTGCACAGATGAATGAATTTGACCCATCAGTTGTGCTACTCAGGTTCATCTCTCTAGCCACTGAGCTAACCAATTTGGAAAAGCCATATGTATTAAGTCATCTGTATTAAGCGGAATCTAGAACGCCAGGTGCTAGCGACTTCAAAACCTAACGAGAGGAAAATACGAACCTTCTTACAAGGGAGGTCTTTCAGGGCAAGGTGCGCTTTTTCAAAACGGTTTTGTGCATATTGTAGGGACGCATGTAGGGAACGCAAAACCATGTTTCATTTTCGCTGAACGGTTATAGCAGTACCAAAAAGAAGTTCGATCCCCCGTGGCGACTAAATTTTGCATTTGGGTTGGCGCCTACGGTTTGGTGCCAAATCGCGCTAAATATCAAAATCAGATGTCAAATTCATCGTCAGGACCATTTTGAAGCCAAAGTGGCCGCCAACCTTGATTGCAAAATTTAGTCGCCGCGGGGGATTGAACCATCAAGAGTATTATTCACCACTTTTTTGGTACTACTAAAACCGTTCAGCGAAAACGAAACATGGTTTTGTGGTCCATACATGCGTCCCTACAACATACCCTAAAATCCCATAGATAAGAGCGGTCCATAGATATTTTTTCAAAAATAAAATAAAAATAAAAATATTTTTTCAAAATCATTTTTTACCGGTAAATTAAACCGCTCTTATCTATGGAATTTTACTGATCGAATGGGCTCTTCAAGTTCTATCCAGAGATCAAATTCCGGCATTTCTAGAGAGATTCCGGCAGAAATTCCGTTAAAATCGCTATTTTTCTATATGAATTGTTTATTAAGTGGGCGGGGTTTAGAGTTGAGGGACGGAGCTTCTTCTAAACTTCTTCTCCGATTTTTATTTATCCATCCATCAAGTTAGAGGGGTGACTGCATTCAATTTCAATTTCATTCCAATTCATTTTTCACCGGTAAATTAAACCGCTCTTATCTATGGGATTTTAGGGTATTAAAAAGCTCAAAAGCCACTTGCCGCCGATAACTCATTGCTAGCCTAACCTCTTCCTTACCCGTGTCACATACTGGCGATTTGGAACTGCACGAAGGCTTCCGGCTAGCTCCAAGGCACTGATATGCCACACATCACGACATAATGTCGATGGGTGAGGTACTGCTCTCAGTAGAGCGGGCCGCCATAAGTAAATTTAATGAAATTGCAAATTTAAAGAAGCACCATCAAAATCACAACGCCAAAACCATTTGGGGTTACTGTACCTGCGGTTGTGTCAGAAACATTCCACACACAAGGTTTCGACTACATTGAGAATCTCATTGGAAATTTGAACACTACGATAATCACTTCCCATTAGTCAAATTTTGATCCATATTGAAACGCTTGATTTTCTCTGTTCATTGAAAACGTAAACAAAATAGCAAAAAATCTCGTTAAAAAATTTGGCGACAATAAAAAATAGAACATTAAAAAATATGGAATAAGCCTTACCTCAGAAATCGACATCGATCTGGTGCGGCGTATAATCGTAACAAATATTCTATGGTAAATATGATAACGCAAGCAGTATCTAATACGAAAAACTGAAAACAGTCACTTATCGATTAGCTCGGCGATTAATTGGAAAACTATAAACGACGCTACACTAACTTGTCTCTCATAGGCGTCTCCACAGGAGGTAGGAGTGTCATTTACATACCTGAAATAAACCAGTGATATTGTTCATACAAAAAATGATGAAATAAAAGTCTAATTATTGTTATTGATTGACTATTGACAAATTGATCGAATCCAACTAACCAGCATGGAATGGTCTCTATTATATTACATAATACAGAAACAGCAATGAAAAAACCCGTGACATAATAAAAAACAAGTGCGACCGACGAGGTGTGTGGGTTTTCGAACGCCGCCCACATCTTCTGCTGAAAATCGATAAACTTCAATTTGAAAATCAATAAATTTGAGTCGAATTTTTAAAAGGAATATTTTCTAGCTCGACTAAATTCACACTTATTTCTCCGCTTATACTGTGTATTATATAAGTATTGGTCTCATCCAGTAAGGGGGGGGGCATGTGGTGTGACAGTTCTTGCCGGCTACAGAAATTCCAATTTTTGCAAGGGGAGGGAATCCCCGGGGTGCGTGAACCATTTCGCTTAAACTTTTACACCCACCCCGGAGCTTCCCTCCCCTGAAAAAAGTGGATTACTTCATGCAATATGAACTGTCGCACCACATGCCCCCCCCCCTACTGGATGAGACCCATGTATTGATTCAGAAACTACTGATTTAGGGATGTGTGTTGGCAGGAGTCCACCGCGCGACGAACGCGAAATCGCGCGTGCAGCAACTGCTATAAGAGGTATCGTATCGATCGCCTGTGCCCTGTGCGTTCGTCGCGTGGTGGCCCTCCTTTCCGATTCATCTAGGAATCAAGAATAGCACCACGAGAGTTCCCCCTTCGCACACAAGTCTTTTTTTTGCATCCCAACCCATTTACCCTCTACATGAAAACGAGAAGAGCGTCGAGTGCAGACCACACACCACAAGTGACGACGGCCAAGAAAAAAAAAAAAGCCACTTTTTTCTTGGCCGTCGTCACTTGTGGTGTGTGGTCTGCACTCGACGCTCTTCTCGTCTTCTGAAATAGAGGGTACGATCTGATGCATAGCTTACCTGAAAGGTCTGCTTGAGCTTGGTCGCATCGATGCTCTCGATCCGCTCCTCGAGAAGGCGTTCTTGATTTTCCCGTTTCTTATCCTTATAGTCCTCATAGCAACAATCACTTATCAAATCTGGCATGATGCCAAAAAATGACAACTCCTCGTCGTACGCGACAAGGCATTCATGTCGGGGATACTGAAAACGTAGTCTTGAAGTTTATTCATAGTAAATCAAGATGAGCACATGGTACAGCGTTCGCGGCGCGACCGCGCGCGTCTTAGATATACCAATCCAACTGCAGCTTTCTGCGAGTGTACTTACGGAAACTGCCGATAATTCAGTAATTGAACTCACATGTAGCTTTCCAGTTCGATAGAAAGTTAGGATATGTCGGAAAATGTCCGGGTCACGATCGAAAAAATATTCTCCGGTGTCCTCATCATAGAAAAATTCCTTAAATAATTTTTAAATTAATGATATCATGGCGGAATGCCAGGCACAACGTGGCTATTCTAAGATTGATGAAATAA